TCAGAAACACTTGTTATATTTCATGGAATGCTCTTAACATCCCAATAGCAATACATTAAATGCTTTGACAATAAATACATAACAAAAATTCATCTGTGGAAGCCGTGGCGCTGTAAAAAGCACAACCAATCATCTGAGCCGGCCCGGCTAAAATAACTGGATGGCCTACCTGCCTGTCAACCTTCCATCTCGTGCACAAATTTATCTCGTGCCCTCATTGGTCATGTGCGCGTTCGTGTGTGTTGGAGGAGGGGCTCTGTAAGGAAGTCTGAAGGAAGGGGCAGATTTTGTCGGCTGCGTAGTTTCAAATTTGAGCGCACTCGAGCTGGTTTCTCCATTCTTACCTACCCTACCTTCAAGTACAATAGGCTACTTGGGTAAAAGTCTACCAATTTAATTAATTTAAATTGTTTACATGAAAACACATAACAAAAATGTTGATGGCTGAACTTTAAAGGAGACATGTCATGCTTTTCCGGTTATTACCTGTCCCCTTGTGTGTTATGAAGGTTTGTATGCATGTAAACGGTGTGCAGAGTCACAAACCCTCAAAGTACACCCTGTAGCAAGTAAAACTCTAGACCTCAACAATGGAATTATGATCAGTGGAAATGGCCATGACATGGGACCTTTAAAGAGCCTGTGACACGAGTTTCCCCCATCATCCAAACCCATCAATTTGAGTAAATATTGTCCCCTTGAAAACCGTTACTGAACTGATTTTGGATATTTGTACTTTGATAACCATTAATTTGCCCTTCAATGTTGACCATATTCTGGATCTTCTCGGGGATTCTTCAAGTCCCGCCAAATTATGTGTGACGTCATTGCGGGCACAGCGCTCCAGCTGCACCGTTCAGGATCCCAGCATCTGCATGCAAATGCACGATGGTGCACACCATGGGCGTCGCCTGGGGTAGGCATCCGGGGCTTTAGCCCCGGATGTTTTTTCTTTAGCCCCGGACAAATTCTCCCTCAATAATATAATACATTAACCGTACTTTACCTAGAGGATGGCAGAATTGTAATTTCCCGTGTTCAGTGAATGCAACAGAGGCAACCACCAGACCAATCCGAGAGTTGCATGGAAATAAACGTGTTTTATTGGCTGACCTCTCCTCTGTGACAGTGTTTAAACTTTAAACTTTCAGCCGCGGACGCGGAGTTTCTGAAGATGGACATTAGACATTTTTTAAATAAAAAATACGGCAATTCTCAAGTGGTGGCTTTACACAACAACCCCAGAGCCACCACCTGAGCCAGGTGAACAAGGTATGTAAATGTCAGTAAACTTACAAGTTATGTCAACATGTAAGCAAAGCATAAATTATAGCTACGTTGACGTTACTTTGAATCGCGGGGGTAAGCTAAACCGTTAGCAAGTAGCTATAGCTAGCCAGATATATTAAATAAACACTTTGTCATAAAATCTAAATGTTGTGTTTTTTAGCGTTACCTGGTGATTTCAAAGAAAGCTCTCTGGGAAATGTTGACTTACTGTCAGTGTTCGACATGAAGCTACATGTAGAAGCTACCTTACATTACACAGTTGATCCTGAGTCCTGTCAGTTAAAGTGTTTCATAGTTAGCTTAGCTAAGCATCAACCTAGCACTGAAATATATGGATGTTATGTGACGGTATTTCTGAGGAAAAGTCAGCTGAAATGGTGGCATAGTTGCCACTGCTTTACGTGTCAACAGCATGTTTGAACGTATTTGCAGCAGTACATGTGGCTGTTTGGCCACTGACGTTGCCATAACAACACCTGAATTTAAATGTGCAACCTCTTTTTGTGACAGATTTTTGCATGAAATTATAATTCTTCTGATTGATATTCCTATTGACAGCTAGTTTCTATGTGTACATTATGAGATGGACAGCCAGCTAACAAGCTTTCAGATCAAAGCTAATCCAGTGGGGCTCCTGAAAGGGGGCAAGGGACACTATGCTCCCAAATATTAAGCCTTGACCCGCATCTTAAAATTGATATGATCACAAAATGATCTGCATTGTCGGAGGCCTTTTTTCCTCATTATCATGTCAAATTGTACAGCTTTCCTTAGTGTTGAATGCAGAAAGAGGACTATATTAGAGTATCAAGTGAAAATGACTATATTAAAGTATGAAGTGAATATATTAAGTGAATTACTCAAACTGCATTTGTATAGGAATGATTATGTCCTATTGGCAGATAACTACTCTAACAGTGATATCTACAAGAGATGTACATTTAACTATTTTCAATTGGTTAGTATTACATTTTGTAAGAGTGTGGTGACACTCATTTTAATGAAGACACATTTGTGTATCTTGAAATTCATTTATTTGACAGAGCTGGAAACTGATTGACTTACATACTTGTTTGTGTTTACCTACACAGTCATCACAGATGAGCCAAACAGAGTAGAGGATGAAGAAAGGAGAACAGGAGAAAGGGACACACAAGAAGGAGAAACAACAGACAAGAACAACAATGGAGACAACAATGAACAGGAACACCAGAACAGACAAGAGTCAATGAGTAACATGACTGATTTAGGGACTGCAGATACAGGGCCAAGGCAAGTGAGACATCACTGCTTTCCATCCAGCATGTTTGGCCAGCAAAAGAGATCATTTCAACCGCAAACAGCAAGAGATGAGGGATTATTATTTCCTCCTTCCATCCCTTTTTTCTGTTTAATCTGATTACTAACAACTTCTAATCATTTGACATAGTTTATGATTTAATTGGAAAATGAAGTGTTTTTAAATAATAAACCCGTTTCTGATTCTGATTCTTTGATTTTTGTTGACATATGGGTGTTGAGAGATGTATCCATATCTCTTAACGTTGCTCTCAAAGTGCACAAGATTGATGCTTTTAACTTCAACATTAAAAAAAATTCTTCCTGGGGACCCCAGAGGAGGTGAGTTCCCTCAAAATAGCACTTTATCTCTGCTTATGTAACTCCGGTGTAGTGTCCCCTCGGCAACAGATCACTCAGAGCTGGTGATTATTTTCCTGCATTTCAATGGACAGCATAAAAGGACACATGAGCTGGGTTCTGGTGCTCAGATTAGCTATTGATGATCACGTTGATAAATCATATAAAACCAATCACACAAAAAACATGTTGCTGTGACTGTGAGCATTAAACAATTAACATTAAACTAAACAAACACAACAGTATCATTGTCCTTATAAAATAAAAACATACATTTTGTCCACCGAGATAATACAGGCACCTTACCCTCAAGAAATCCTCACGTGCTATGAGAATCTCCCACAATGCATTGCCGTAACAAAGCTAATGCAGGCACACTGTAGCGCCGCCACTGTGGGCTAAGCCCCGAATGTTTCCAGGTCCAGGCAACGCCCCTGGTGCACACAGCAGCAAGCTCAGACAGTTTAATTTTAAACGTGTCTGAGAGCTCATATGAGGCTGTAGGATCGGTTTATGTTGTATCTGTTAGAAGTTTAGGAATTAGGTGCGTCAATATGGGCGATCATACGGTCATGTAGCCAGTGGTGGACTGGGACTAAAAATCATCCCGGGACTCTCGACCGGCCCACTTCGGTACCGCTAGTAAATTGTCAACGGGGGGAGTGGGGGATGTGCTAGTGATTTATCCGACCGGCCCACTTCGGTACCGGCCCATCGGGATTCGTCCCGATGGCCAGTCCGCCACTGCACCCAGCCCAGCCCACGTAAACTGTCAACGGGGGGAGCCTCGCTGCGGGGAAACGGTGGACCGAGTGTCCCGATCGGAGTGGGAATAATAATAATCCGTGCATTTTATCCATTAATTTCCCCAACATTGTGGTAAAAAAACCACACGTTTAATCCATGTTGGTGTACTACAACTACAAAAAGCATCGGTTTGTTTTCTCATCAGGAAATGCAGACCGGCTCAAACAAACGATTTTTAAATCATCCTCACGATCATTTAATGTATCATATGTTCGCCGAATTGACATGAAAGCACTAATAAATGTAGTTTCATCCACTTGAGTTTACAACTACAAAAATAATCGATTTATTTTTATATCACATCCGACTGGAGGAAATTCAGCAGCTCTCACTACCGATTTTTAATCCTAATTTAATCATCACCACGATCATTTATGTTTATGTTCGCCGAATTGACATGAAAGCACTGACAAATATGAAGATACTGTAGTCAACTTCATTAAAACGTTATTAACGTGCCTAAACCCAGTAATTCACCATTTCTACGCATGACAACACTTTGTCCGTGTTTGGCTCTCTCGCCGCACAGTGAAGCGTTCCCGCATTGACGTCACTTCCGGCTTCCCCCAAAACGAGTCGAAGGAATTTCCCCGCGATGTTCGAAATTATTGATATTTATCGGAACGGTATCGCACCTTCTTTTTTAAACTGACGGTTCGAGATTACTAGTAGCCCAATATTTCATTGCACAACAGTTGTTGGGAGGCTGTCACAGGCTCTTTAACTACATCAGTATCAGGAAGCTGGTTTTTCACATGCAGGCTCCGTGGTAGACTTTATTTTTAAGAACACCCGTTTTCCTGTCACATTGCACCTTATTCAGTGTGATAAACATGGTAGAGAGCTGCACAATGGATATAACACTGGAAACTGAAGTGTGTCATTTGGATCAGATTTGTATGTAAATTAAGAATTTGCCCAAGGAATACAATTTGCATTTTAATGGTGCACATGTAGAAATAAATCATTAGTTCAACTGCAGCAATAGACTAATGTTAAATTAGTGGATACTTCAGTGTGTTCAGGATGGAAGCATTAAGAATGACAAGGAATGATAAGTGATTCATGAAAAGCACCTTTGAAGAAGTGATGCTTTTGAATCACTCAGTACTAAATATCATATAGTAGTAATAGTTTTGAAGCTCAGTAAGGTCAATATTAACTGAAAATATAGCCATCACAGTCTAGATTTTCTGCTGAAGATTAAGCAGAGAACTGAGAGCTCCCTCTGGTGGTGATCAACATTAATGACAAGGAAACAAAGGTCTGATCTGAACTATTTTTAATAAAAGCTTTAAGAAAATTAAGCATGTAAAAGGATTTTAAAAGTATTGCTGTACATTTGACACATTCACACAAGAAAAAAAAAATGCACACCTGGCCACTTTAGATATTCGGGACCATTTGAAAGCATGCCACAAGTTTTAGATTTGCAGCCAGAGCAGCGGTTAAGCTATAAAAATAACTATAACAAGATTTCAGTCAGCCAACATCCCAAGTAGTGTATTTATGATGTAAAAAAGTGATTAGGGTTGGATTAGAGTAGTCATACAGACTGAAACTCATACAGAGTAAATAAGCCTGATATGGTTCACTTTACTGAAGAGCAGGTCCTATTCCAAGACTGAACTGCCAATTTGTGTGAGGGCTAGTTTTTAAATTAAAACTTGTAGCATGCTTTAGAAAAAGAGTCAGTAAAAGTATTCACGATTTCAGTTGATAAAAACGTGCAAACCACTGATTTGGTCCTTGGTGTGCAGCTCCTTCGGTCACATTAAAAAGTTTAAGTTACAACTGTACAAAACGGCACATTGTGCCAAAAGTCTTCTCATACGGTGAGCTGCTTTGCAATATCCGTCACCACTGAAGACTTGAGCTGCGAGATGGTGGCAATCCTCATCTGCTTGGAAGTGGAGTACTTTCCTTTAATGGCCTGGAATAAGAGAAAATTATTGGGTTATAAGTAAATCCAAATTAAGGATTAATCCTTTTCAAGTACACAAATGTTGACACTTGAGTTTTGTTTGTTTTACACTTACCATATGTTTGGTCGTACCGTCGTTCACCTTCAGTACATTCTTGGCAATGTGTGCCATCACAGGAATCAAACTCTCTGCCGTGTATTCCATGTAGTGCTGCAGAGTCACGTCCTGAGAAGAGACAATACACAGATGTCCTTCACAAAAGCATTTAATCCACTTGACAGTAAATGCTCCATTAGAATCTTTAATGACCACACAGCCAGGCTGGTGGAATGACCATTTTATGACTGAGGCAACCATTTTTAAAGGCAACACCCCACTTTACACACTTTTGTAGCAAATGTAGCCTTGAAATACAAATATTGGCCAATATTTAAATAGATGATAAGCCACCTTTTAACATTTTGAAGGTGCACTTATTAGCTTAGTCTTGTAAAAATATGAACGTTTCAAAAGAGGGCCAAATGTGTTATTTTAGCATATTGAACTAATGCATTTTGCTCTTGGAAATATTTCTCTCCTCATTTAATAGACAATTATTTTAACAGTATACTATAATCTACACCAGGGGTCGGCAACAGGCGGACCGCGGTCCGGACGCCGACCTATAACCAATACATTAATAGGGGATTTCAATTTTGACGGGGCGATTCTATTTTAACCGCCGCCGACAGGGGGCGATTGAGACGAGTGAGCGATACAGGGAGAAAAATACAGAAGAGACGAGAGCGCAGCAGAGAGGAAAGAGAGAGAATAATTAGCGATACAGGGAGAGGAGAGTGAACAGGCGTGTCATCCTGCCCGCTGGGAGCACAGAACCAGTGTGTCTCATTGGTTCAGAGACCGTGGCGCTCATTAAAAGTGCCAAAACGCCACTGCATGTGTGTATGAGAATGGCCCCGACACCATTTCAGCCCAGATTTAAACTCCTGGCAGGACAAACTCAATTCTTGCACTAAATTAAAAAGTGAGTGAGGGACTGCAATATAAGATAGAAAGAGAAACTTTAAAACAGTTCAATTGTTATGATGTGTAAACACTGTTATTGTTCTATAATCGGGTGCACATAACTTTGTTGCCCTGGTTCTCAAAGGAGCACCTGGAGATGTTGCTTGGTGCTCATCCTTAAAATGAAATAAACCGTAACTTTTGAGGGGGTCTTGACTTTATTTGCCAGACACACGGCACTGAACACACATGCAGAGGTGAACACAGAACACACATGCAGAGGTGAACACAAGACAACATTAGCACGACCAGTAATCCTACAAGCTGTCATCACTACCCTCCTGACTGTTCTCCTCTCTGTCTTCCTCTGTCAGACATGGTAGCTGATGATGTAGGCCTACTTCTTCCTCTCTGGTTGAGTCTGTGATTAGCTGCTTGCATCCACAAGTCAACAGCTGGTTTTGGGTCGAAAGTCTCTGTTGTCATCTTAGACAAGTGGATGTAATCAAATAAGTATGTGAACATAACCAATAACCTACCATAGCCAATAACAAATGTAACTTATTTTATTTGTGTTGTTCATTCATATCTTACCTTAACATTTATTTATGCATTTTTTTTAATCTCTCCAGTTTTAAAGGATATTTTTGGTTACTATCCTACAGTATACATTGGAATGATTTAAAACCTGTTTATCCCAATAATTATAAAGGAGTGCCTTGGAAATATGTGGCTACATAAATTGCGACCAAACCGTTTGAACTTAGACTAAAGCAGTGGTTCTCAAAGTGGGGGGCGCGCAGAGGCATGCCAGGGGGGGCGCGAGAGACCAGGAGGAAAAATGTTTTTATAAAAAAAAAAAAAAAAAAAAAAAAAAAATTATTGATTCGAAAATAATATGATGCAGTACAGTATTATTACGTGTTGAGAGATGTATCCATAGATCTCTTCATTTTGCTCTCAAAGTGCACCAGATTGATGCATTTAACTTCAACATTTAAAAATGAAATCTTCCCGGGGGAGCTTGCCCCCGGACCCCCCTATGTGAGGTCCACACACCACCTATAAAAATAGCACTTTACCCCTGCTAAGCTGATTATCGAGCCTTCATTGTAACAGTCGCGGGTACACTGTATATGCGTGGGGATTGTTGCAGTAGAAAATTCCACTGTAGCGACCGGTACATTAATGGGAAACCCTAAATGTTTGAGCACCCTCTATGAAACGTCAAGCTACCTGAGCTACTGAGCCTGACTATTTGTGTTGGGGGGGCCCGACTTTTTTTTTTCTCCAAAGGGGGGCCTGACAGAAAAAGTTTGAGAACCACTGGACTAAAGTGAACTATCTAAACACTCAGAGTCCTTTACCTCACTGAGCTGTAGTATCAGCCTCTCAGTCTGACTGGAGAGGACTCTCCCTCCACATTATTGTAGAAACATCTTCTTCTTATATCCGTTAGAGCAGCTAGCACGGCACCAGATTCTAATAACAACAGCGCTGGTACCGGTGCACCCTCCCTCTCTCCCTCGCATTTTGGCTGTGAGCTGCGGGCGCCAGATAAGCCAACATCCCCCATTTTCATCACTTACAGCGCCCATCGTACAGGGCAAATGAAACGTGTAACCGGGGTGAAAAGGGTGTTACATTTACTTAATTATGAATATTGTTACATCAAGGCCGAAAATTAGGATGAGCGCCAACGGTCAAAATGTTTTTTTCCCTCCCAGAACTGCCAGCGCAGCGCCTCCACAGATCTGGCGCCCTAGGCGAACATCTAGCCAGTGCTACGGGCCGGCCCTCAGTTCATACATGTATGCAACTCGCAAATATCTCTCTCCTCTATTTTCTCTTCTCTCTCTCCCTCTCTCAATGTTGGTACGCAAATGCGCTTCGTTTCAAATGACCCGGTGCTCTTTTTTTGGCGGAGGTGCGCATGCGCACCAGTTATGTGCAGCCCTGTCTATAATCGTCTGAAACTGTTTAGTCATGATGTGAAACGGTTAACAAAGAAAAACTCAAGCTACTGCTAAACTTTATCTAAAATTAAGCACTTTTAAAATGCACATATTTTCAAAAGCTATTTTATTTTTAAATGCAGCCCGAGAGGAACATTACACACATCCACAGTATAGTTCAATGTTCATTGACAATAAATATTGTCGTTATTAAATTGTAGTTTCTTTATTTGATTGGCAGTCAGTTGTTGATTACATGCAGACGTTGATAAAGCTACAGGCTACTTCAATACATATCACATTAATTCATAAAGCAACTTAGACATTTTGATGTTCCGGACCTTTGCATGGAGAGATTCTCAAACTGGACCTCGTTGAATACCCTTGATATAAACTATATAAACCATCTGTTCATTTGTCACAAGTAATGATATTTCTCATCTGATACAGACGTATTTAGGAAGAGGTTAACTCACCCATTCACCAGCGTCCAAGACCTTGAGACTGAGAGCCAGAGAAGCACTTGCAACAATGGAAGGTGGCATGTGAACCATCTCGTAGTCGACCATGGTGAGCTCCAGGAGGTATTTAGCCAGGGTGTGCTGCTCAGCTGTTACCTTAAGAGAGACATTGACATCATCAACAAATTGAAGATCTCAAAGCAGAACATTTGGCTCGTTTGCTGTTAAAAATGATACAAACCTCGTAAACCTTTGACGCTCTTCTGAGGAACTGCAGGGGAAGAGGGCGGCCCAGCTGGAACTTGAGCACTCGCAGGATGGCCATCTCCATGTCTCTGATCTCTGCGGTGGTGTAGGCCTTGTCGGTTACGTAGGCAAAGTCTGAGATCTCGGGGGGGTACATCTCCTCGTATTTGGAAGCCAGGAACATGGCAGTTACGCCGACCAGCTGCAGCTGCTTCTTGGGGACTGGGTTGTCCTGTTGGAGGTGCAATCACAGGACTTTAGACACAAGGATTTATACTGTTTCTCATCAATATATTATAAGTCTCAGATATATGCAAAACATGTCTCTGAAGTGTTTGGCTCGAAATACCAAACAGATCACCCATTGCAGCATCCCATAATCCCCTGTTTCAAAAGCGCTGATTCTCTGTTACTTTAGATGAAAATAAGGAGCCACTCCCTTCTTGAGAGATATTTGGTAAAAAAAGAACACAATGGAGAGGAGATTCAGGTGATAAGGTGGGGAGGAGTTACCTTGGTTGGTGATTGGCTAATGGTTATACGAGCCAAAAAAAAAGTTATGACATCATGAAGTGGCCAAAATCTGATCAGCTCATTTTGAGACAGGTTTATAGAAATGGATCAGAACAAAAAGAGAATCTTTTTTCCTGAAACTTTCAGAATCTCTTTACACAGAGGGGACACATGTTGATGTCGAAGAGACATGAAAAAGTGGATTTTGCATAATAGGTGACCTTTAAAGTGGACCTATCATGCTATATTTGAATAATATACTGTAGGGCCATACCTATATAAAACATGTCTGTGAAGTTTTTTTTCAAAATACCAAACCAATCATGCATTTTAGCCATTCCTCATTTCACTCCATTTGCTTTATTCCAGCACTGTTTTTGCCAGGGCTGATTCTGTGGCAAATGAGCTGCAGCTGACCACGCCCCCCTGAAAAGGAGGGGGCGAGGCACAAGCATCATGTTACCATGCCACGGCAACCTCTCATTCCCCTGATAGGCGGAGCTCCCCGTTTCTGATGTCAGAACGATTTCAAATCTGTATCAGCTCCGTTGCAGCCTCGTTTTTAGAGATTTGGGTATGGAAGAAAAGAGAGAGGGTTGTGTTTTCTGACACTTGGTGAGTTCCCTGACACACATATTCATGTATGAAAGACATACAAAAGTGCATTTTGCCTGATAGGTCCCCTTTAAGCTAGCCATGTAAAAAAACAGGACAAGATATACATGTACACACCTGAAGAAAGCGGTCAATTATTCCCACGGTCAGGTACATGGTCTCCTGCAGCAGACGGAACTTGAGGCTCACTTGCACCAACCAGTCAACGAGAATGGCCCGCATGTTCCCAGTCACCTCATGACCCTGCAGATAAGTGGCTCTGACGTTCTGCTCCACCTGTAGAGACAAAAACTGGTTAAAATCCACAAGTAGTAGAGGGGGGGGGGAATCTCCAATGCATATAGCCAGTTGAAGAATATTCATTTGCTTGCCTCGAGCTGACGCAGGTACTTGTAGATTTCCTTCACATATTCGCTGCAGAGCATGGGGTTTTCGTAGTCATCTGCATCAACATCCCTGACAGCAGTGTGAAGAATGACGTCTGAGAAGGCTTGGCAGAGGTCTGCCGGGGCACAGCCAGAAGTCTCCATGGGAGTTGGGGAGGCTGGTTCAGGGATAACCTGGAACGGTGGAATTCCCAACATTAGAACCACACCCGGCAGCCATTTTTGTTTGAGCAGATAGCTGCTGGGATTCACTCACCTGGACTTCTGGCTCAGGTTTAACAGGAACCACAGTTTTTGGTTTGGGCTGTTCAACAACAGCAACTGCTTTTTCAACTTTGGTGACGGGGACTTTGATCTTCTTTGTGGCCTCTGTCTTGACAGCCTAAAAGGAAAAAGATGGATTAAAGTCAGAACTGTGCTGGCCACCATTTCATAGCTTGCGGCAACCACTCTGGATTGTGTACAACTGAATTGCAGAGTAGGTTATAATAGGACACTGTCAATTTAAATGCTGGACAGACATTTAGTGTTTTATAGAAGTGTGAAAAAATGCTTTTACATGGTCAATCTTTCAGAACTTGGTTGAACCCCTTCTAAAAAGCTAAATGTAACCATGTGCTTCAAGACAAGTTACCAGGCTTTGCTTGTTGTTACATCAGAGCACAACTGTAGTTATTTTTGCATAAAAGGCTTTAGTCGTGAGAAGCATGCAGACATGATTGTATGTAGTAAAAAAAAAAAACATTCCCACGTTGATTTTGATAAAAATGGAATGTGATATTATAAAATGTAGTAAAAATCTTACCTTCTTCTGTACTTCTTTGTTAATTCCAATGTTTCCAATTTCACCGAGAGCCGCTCGGGGCTTTGTGGGCCCGGTGACCGTGCAGGCCTTTCCAGCGAGCTGAATTTCAGCATTTCTGGTTGAAGCCAAGCGGGTCTGCAGAAGAAAAAAACGTTTGATTAATTAATAATTTGTAATTGTTTAAAAGGCTCACGTCGAATTATTTCTATAGAACGCTCTGCACGAGAGCAAATCCCACATCTAAGCACGAGGGCATTCAAGAGATATCATGTAGATATTTAAACAACAAAAAAATCCAATAAAGACACATTTCCTCTATACAGAATTACTGTCGAATAAAGAATAATGATAAACATTAAAATACTTACTCTGGTTAATCGGAGTGCCATTTCGAAATATGCGTCGCTTCAACAGACAGACAGGCACGCAGTCGTAATGGAGAATGATGCGGTGTATTTTTGAGGTTCAGCGTCCAGGTTTAAATCCTCACTCCCTACGATCTGATTCGCTGAGGTCTGAATGCTCCGAGAATCTGTTTGGTCGAGCGCAGCAGTTTCGAATGCGTTCCCCGGCCAACCAGTGGTCACGTGACTTACATTTCCGCTCTTCCTTTTCCTGTGACGTCTTGCTTGTTATCTTTCACACTTTCTCATTTTAAGTACTGTTGATTGTGTTCTTCCCATAAACGAACATATTAAATATATACACTACTACAAACTCTTTCTCATAGTCCTTACTTTAAACGTGTGCACAGTCGTCTGACATTTGTGCACATCTCTTCTACTTTTAATGCAGATAGACTGTACACAAGTTTTCATTGTTGTCATATTATATTGTGTTTTTGTGTGTTTGTTGTACACAGTTTTTCATTAGTATGTATTTAATCGTGTTTTAGTATGAACCATTGTACTAAAGCAAATTCCTTGTATTTAAAAAAGTACTTGCAATAAATTGATTCTGATTCTTATAATCCCCCAGAATACACACATTTTGCATTGATAAAATATCAGGGTTTTTTCCCCCACTACTTATTCCTCCCCCACCCATTACACAGGCACATACAGCTTAATGACCAGTGCTTTCTTATTTGTTTTGTTTTTTATTTAATTGTGTTTCTGACCCCCTATTTTAATATAGGTGTAATTGTCACAGACTTAACAGCTTTGTTTTGTGTTGATTGGGGTCAATATGTGAAAAATTAGATGATCATGTAGGGCCATGTAGTCATGAATAGTCTGATGCTTGTTTTGTGGTAATTGTATATATATATTTGCTTGTGTTTTGTGCTGTTTTTCTGGTCTGTTTAGTTTTTAATCCATGTATGATTGTCCATTACTGTGAATACTGTTTACTTATATGTCTTTGGGACATAGAACAACATAGAACAACATTAAACATACATACTATAGCAATCAAAGCTGACCCGTGAACGTACAGAAATCTCTGGACAATTTTGAACTCTTATTTTGCACATTCTGTGGACTTTTGCACTAATGTACATTCTCAAATATTGAAGTGACTGTTATTTTGTTGATTGTTGTGTTTTTATTTAGGTCTTAATGTGTGCACATGTCACGTGTCTTTGATTTTGTGTGTATATATATTTGCACACATATTTGTATATACATTTGTTTTTATATTCGGGATTGTGGGAAACGGTATTCTCTGGTCTGTACCATAGACTGGTCTGTACACACAAACTGGAAGATTGACAATAAAGTTGACTCTGATCTCTAGGTGGAATTTGGAGGATGTGATGAGCATTTGAAGGCAGCACCACAGACTTGTTTACTTGGATCCAAAAACAGCCAGCCTGCGTTGACCATTCCTGCTTACACGAAGCTATAGTAGTATGTTTACTTGCTGGAAGAAGCAGATTTAACAGTTCAGTCATAATCATAGACTGGTAATAATAGCCTGAAATCGTATGTGGTAACTTCTAACACCACAGCCTTCCAATCAGAGGGTCACAATTTCCGTGACGTCCGCCGGAAAAGGAGAGGACACGAAGGCAACACGTAAAACAAAACAGATGCGTCCACAAATCACCGACAGAGGACGATAGAAAACACCACTGCTCCCAGGCGGAGGAGAGTCTGTTTTTGTGAGAAGAGAGACAAACAACAACGTACCTAGACGGCCCTAGATAGCAAACATCGAGGTTAACTTAGTTATACCGTAAATCGTCTTAAAGAAGTTTCAAGGGAAAAGAACAACGTTTCTCAGGTAAGGTACATTCAACTGTGGCTAGCTAACATTAGCATACGTGGTTGTTTGTGAAGTTTCCAGAGTGAAACTCCAAGATAAACAGCTTAAATGTACATTATTAGCTCACAGTGATTCTCATTTATGTTGATTTAAATGTAGGTTTGTTGAATAACGAGGATTAAAGCAATGTTACGGTTGGATAACACGTGTAGCTTGACTTTTCCTGTTTGTAAATGAAATACAACTCAAGCGCTTTAACAGCTAGCCGCTAACTTTTTGCTATTAACATAACAACATTATTGTTTTCTCAACACCGACCTGTCCACTAACTAAAATAAAGGCGATCTGTAATGAACATTGACCTGTCTAGCGTTAATCTGTTAACAGCACTATCATAGTTGTTTTTTAGTTAAGTGTAACATAATCTTGTTGGCTAACTTCATCAAGGTTTTACGATTATGTGATATGCCTGCTTTGATTCACGCACTTACCAAACCTCGTTATGGCTCTAATTAAATAAATACATGTCAAGATACTTAAGTTCGTCTTTGGTTTACACCAAAAGAAAGCACAGACTCAACAAAGGCAATAGCAGTGCTAATAGTTATTTTTCGGATTTAGCTTATCTCTAGTATGCTAACCTCTAGCATGCTAACATTAGCGAGATCACGAGAATATGCTCACACGGTTGTTGTGGCTAGCTATCGTTAGCATACGGGCCAAACGATACTGTTAAATACCTAAATGTCCCTCTGGGTGTCCATCTTTTGACCTCAAACGTTTATAACTTGACTCATAGGTGATATCATCCAACCTGCCAGGTGTCATGTAGCATAGTTATGTGAAAGAAAGACGTTAGCAGCAGCCATTAGCTTGCTAGCATGACTCAGTGGATTTGTGGAAGTGACACGGCTGTGGCCCGGTGTTTGTCATTAGCATCGAATAAAACAGCCTTTAAAAATAATATAACTGGCTAAAAGCACCCCCATTAAGCACTTGTAAGCGTATATAAGGGTTTATTGAGGCGCAGGAGAGTTTTAAGTTAACATACTGCCAGTACGACCACATATAAAGGTCAGTGAGTGAGTTGGGCTTTTGTTTCCAAGGTCCACTCTTTATGCGAGCTACAGGTGTTGTAAATGTTGGACCCAGGTCAGAATCTGTGCCCATTTGTCCCCTGCCAAACGACATCTGACATGTATAGCTTAACAGTTTGGCAGTCTCTGTCTTCACAATGTGTTTACAACCTTGGGTTAGAAAGTTGATGGTATATTTAATGGGGAAACTTACTCTGACCAAGATACACATGTTTTGCACGATACCAGGTTCTCGAGGTGGTCTCTAAATAGATGTGTTCACCGCCTTACTGTATTGAAGTAGCACCTCTTAGATCACAGTGTCACATTGCACTCCCGTGACAGACGAATGCCATCTACACAGGGTCTTGTTGGACTGAAACTGCATGTATCACTGCTGTGATGACAGTTTTGAGGAGGAAAGACGACATCAGATCCAATTTACCAGAATTGTGCCTTGAACACTTCCTTTTTTGATTCTGTCACTCGTTTAAAATAACCCTCCCCTAAAGGGATATCCTCACAACTTCCTTTATTGTAACTGTAAGGGCTGATGCAAGTTCATATTGAGTCACACTTTAAATACATTTAGATTTTCCAACCACTTTCCTTTGTAATCAGCCCATTTGTGAGAAATTGAGATATGCAAGAGTTTTTATAACAAATATTTAAAGCTATCATTATAGTTACATTACGATATTTAATACTTAAAAATATATAAATGTTTTGGTCATTTTACAAATTCTTCTTATACAAAATTAGCCAAACTTCTCAAAAGCTGTTTGAAAAAATGGTTAAAATCAGAGCTTTGGACCACAGTTCACGGTCTTCATTAGTGGAGATTAAAAAAGTGTTTGCATATAGTGCAGAAGACTATCTTTAAAACAGGATGGATTGTGATCCCATCTTGTAATCGTTGTCTACACTTGGGTCATGTGATGATACCAGAACAGTGTCATTGTTGCTGATGAAGAGGTTAAACTGCCAGTAAAGTTTTTAATGGGATTTTTTTTGTTACACAATCTTATTCCAGACACTCAATGTTTACTTTCTGTCCTGTTTTGCGAAAGTACCAATCATTTTATGTACCATACCAGATATTCAGGCAGGAAACCAAGCCCTACATGTTATTGCTTGAGTCACATGACCATTGTCTTTTTTGCTTTGACAAGGGAATAATTAACTTTTTGTTCTGTCACTGGTTTACAATCCTTTTGTTCAATATTGATTGATGAAAAAATAAGAGTGTATGTTGTGTTAAATTAACAAAACCTCTGTTTTGGTTTCCAGGTCAGCTCACCCGACGGCAGACTTCACCATGGCCCAGGAGACCAATCAGACCCCGATGCCTACGCTCTGTGCTAATGGCTGTGGTTTCTATGGCAACCCTAGGACTAATGGCATGTGCTCTGTGTGTCACAAGGAGACACTGTCCAGACAGAACAATGGAGGAGTCGGTTCTCTGAGCGCCGTGGGTAAGACCTGCTGTGTTCAGACGCACACAAGGACTTCACTCCTTACCCTTTTATCCAACTGTAACCATCGTTGACGTTTCCCCCCCCCCAGGCAGCAGCAGTGGCCACGCAGCGGAGGCGTCGGCCATCCAGAGGTTAGAGGCCACGCTGAACAATGCTGCCGCCGCCGCAGTCGCTGCTGCTGAGTCGGCAGCAGAGGCCGCCGCTTCAGCCGAGGCTCTCAGGTGAGGGGATGCACCACGGTATATTGTACTGCCCGCAAAAAGCAGAAGTAGGTATAATCGGCGTTTTCCTGTAACCCGCCCACCCCTACTCTTCAGCAGTTAAATATGGTTTGACTTATGGATGATTCTGTCTGTTTAGTTTCCTGATGTTAAAAAAAAAATGTTGTTTATCCTTCGCAGTGGGGTTTCAAGTTCCCTGACGGAGATGAGTCTCTCCTGTGAGGAGAAAGGAGCATCAGGGAGCAAAGTAGAGATAACAGATCCAGGTGGGTTTATTTTTATTTATTTGATACCTGAATATTTTCTGCTTTTCTATTTACATTAAAAGGGGGTTTAAGTCGGAGTAATGTTTTCCTTTTTACAATGGTGTACAGCAGCTCAGTGTATGTTAGTAAGATATACTTTACTGAATTTATTATGTTTTTATATATTTTGTTCATCTGCAGTGTTGACTCAGCCCACCTCCTCGGCCTCTCATCCCTCCACTTCTGGCAGCGAGGAGTCCAAAACTCCAGAGCCCACAAAGCCCAAGAAGAGCCGCTGCTTTCTGTGCC